TGGGAGGTGAGGCGGGCAGATTATGAGGTCAGGAGTTCAAGACCAGCCTGACAACATGGAGAAACCCCGTCTCTACTAAAAATACAAAATTAGCTGGCTGTGATAGCACATGCCTGTAATCCCAGCTACTCGGAAGGCTGAGGCAGGAGAGAATTGCTTGAACCCGGCGGGTGGAGGTTGCAGTGAGCCAAGATGGCGCCACTGCACTCCAGCCTGGCCGACAGTGAGACTCCATCTCAAAAAACAACAAAACAAAACAAAACAAAAAAACCCCAGAGATGTGGAGAGAAAAAAAAGGCTTGTTCAAGATCACATGGTTAGTTGGTGGGGATGGCAAAACGAGGGGCAAATGGCAAGTGTAATGATTACTTACTCTCAAACAGGGGTGTCCAATCTTTTGGCTTCCCTGGGTCATGTTTGAAGAATTGTCTTGGGCCTCATATAAAATATGCTAACACTAACGATAGGTGATGAGTTACACACACACACACACACACAATAATATACATATATTATATATATTTTAATTTATTATAATTTATTATAATTTATTATAATTATTTATATTATAATATAATTATAATATTATATAATATTATATTATAATATAATTATAATATTATATTATATAATATAATATATAATATATATTATATATATATATATATAGGCAGAATCTCACTCTGTTGCTCAGGCTGGAGTGCAGTGGTGCCATCTGGGCTCACTGCGATCTTTACCTCCCAGGTTCAAGCGATTTTGATGCCTCATCCTCCTGAGTAGCTGGGATTACAGGTGCATGGCACCACGCTCGGCTAATTCTTTTATTTTTAGTAGAGACAGGGTTTCACCATGTTGCCCAGGCTGGTCTCGAACTCCTGACCTCGAGTGACCCGCCTGCCTCGGCCTCCCAAAGTGCTGGGATTAATTACAGGCGTGAGCCACCGCACCTGGCCGTAAGTGATCATTTTGCAGCCCAGTCTTTTCACTCAGCAATAAGCTTATGGGTCTTGTCTTTGTTGGTACATCTAGAACAGTGATTCTCAACCAGAAGGGATGTCCCCAGAGGATAAATTTGGCAATATCTGGAGACATTCTTGGTTGTCACAGCTAGTGGGCAGAAGCCAGGGATGCTGCCTACCACGCTATAATGCACAGGATGCCCCATAGCAAAATATGATCCAACCCCAGATGTCAATAGGGCTGAAGTTGAAAAACCCTGATCAAGGTCCAGTTCCCTTTTTTTTTTTTTTTTTTTTTGAGACAGAGTCTCCCTCTGTCACCTAGGCTGAAGTGCAGTGGCCAGTCTTAGCTCACTGCAATTTCTGCCTCCTAGGTTCAAGCGATTCTTCTGCTTCAGGCTCCCGAGTGGCTGGGATTACAGGCGCAAGCCACCATGCCTGGCTAAATTTTGTATTTTTAGGAGAGACAGGATTTCGCCATGTTGGCCAGGCTGGTCTCCAACTTCTGACCTCAAGTGATCCAACTGCCTTGGCTTCCCAAAGTGCTAGGTGAGCCACCGCACCCAGCCTAGTTCACTTGTTTTTTTGAGACGGAGTCTCCCTCTATCACCCAGACTGGAGTTCAGGGGCATGATCTCGCTTCTCTGCAACCTCTACCTCCCAGATTCAGGCAATTTTCTGCCTCCCAAGTAGCTGGGATTACAGACACCCGCCACCATGCCCAGCTAATTTCTGTATTTTTAGTAGAGACAGGTTTTCACCATCTTGGCCAGGCTGCATCTCAAACTCCTGACTTCAAGTGATCCGCCCACCTCCGCCTCCCAAAGTGCTGGGATTACAGGTGTGAGCCACCAAGCCCGCCTTTTTTTTTTTTTTTTTTTTTTTTTTTTTTTTTTTTTTTTTAAAACAGAGTCTTGCGCTGTCACTCAGGCTGGAGTGCAGTGGCACCATCTTGGCTCACTGCAGCCTCCATCTCCCAGGTTCAAGTGATTCTCCTGCCTCAGCCTCCCAAGTAGCTGGGACTACAGGTGTGTGCCACCACTCCTGGGATTTTTTTTTTGTATTTTTAGTAGAGATGGGGTTTCACTGTGTTAGCCAGGATGGTCTCAGTCTCCTGACCTTGTGATCCACCCACCTCGGCCTCCCAAAGTGCTGGGATTACAGGCGTGAGCCACCGCACTCAGCCCTAGTTCACTTTTAAATAGTTACTGTATGGCAGGCCACATTTTGTGGCTTCCCACAGCTTTACTAAGAGACCATGGATTTCACTTTTCTCTTGTTGCAACATTGTATCAGTGAACATCTTCCTTCTCTATCTCTGTTTATGGTGCTTGGTTCTTGTTAATAGCAAGGAGTGGAACTGTTGGGGCCCAGGGGATGCACAGCTTCCTATTTCCCTGGTATTGCCAAGTTGCCTCTGACATGGTTGTGCCCACTGATGCTCTCTCCTGGGTTTGTAGGAGAAACTCTGGCATTGATGATTATTTCTTCCTCTTTGAAGTTGACCAAGCTAAGAAGAAGGAAATTCCTTCTGCAGAATAGAGTGCACTACTTGTCTCTCAATTAATAAATGGAACAGAGAATGTCATTGTTGTTGCAATGTCATCAGACATGGCCAGACCTGCTGGTGGCTCAAGCCTGTAATCCTAGCACTTTGGGAGGCCAAAGTGAGAGGATCACTTGAAGCCAGGAGTTCAAGAACAGCCCGGGCCACACATCGAGAACCTATCTTTACCAAAAAAAAAAAAAAAGTATAAAAATTGGCCAGGCAGGTGGCATATGCCTGTACTCCCAGCTACTTGGGAGGCTCAAGCCCAAGAGTTTGAGGCTGCAGAGAGCCACGATTGCATCACTGCACTCCAGCCTGGGTGACAGAGCGAGATGCTGTCTCTTAAAAAGTGTCCAGGCCAGGCGCGGTGGCTCACGCCTGTAATCCCAGCACTTTGGGGGATTGAGGTGGGTGGATCACCTGAGGTCAGGAGTTTGAGACGAGCCTGGCCAACATGGAGAAACCCCCTCTCGACTAAAACTACAAAAATTAGCAGGGTGTGGTGGCATTTGTTGTGTGTCCCTGTAGTCCCAAATACTTTTGAGGCTGAGGTGGGAGGGCTGTTTGAGCCTAGGAAGTCAAGGCTACAGTGAGATGTGATTGCAACACTGCACTCTAGCCTGGCTGGTAGGAGTGAAACCCTGTCTAAAAACAAATTTTTTTAGAAAAGTAACATGGTAAATTTATTTTTATTATTTCTTTCTTTCCTTATTTTTTGAGACAGAGTCTTGCTCTGTTGCCCAGGCTAGAGCTCTGTGGTGCGATCTTGACTCACTGCAGCCTCCGCCTCCTGGGTTCAAGTGATTCTCCTACCTCAGCCTCCTGAATAGCTGGGACTACAGGTGCGCACCACCACAGTCGGCTAATTTTTGTATTTAGTAGAAATGGGGTTTCACCATGTTGGCCAGGATGGTCTCGATCTCCTGACTTTGTGATCCACCCGCCTTAGCCTCCCAAAGTGCGGGGATTACAGGCATGAGCCACTGTGCCCAGCATAAAATGGTAAATATAATGTATATTTTACAGTAATAAAAATATTTTTTAAAGACAGCAGGTATAAGAATACCAGCATAAGGCTGGGCGCGATGGCTCATGCCTATAATCCCAGCACTTTGAGAGGCTGAGGCAGGAGCTTCACTTGAGTCCAAGAGTTGGAGACCAGCCTGGCAAACATGGTGAAACTCCTTCTCTACTAAAAATACAGTAATTTGGCCGGGCGCAGTGGCTCAAGCCTGTAATCCCAGCACTTTGGGAGGCCGAGGCGGGTGGATCACGAGGTCAAGAGATCGAGACCGTCCTGGTCAATATGGTGAAACCCCGTCTCTACTAAAAATACAAAAAAAAGTAGCTGGGCATGGTGGCACATTCCTGTAATCCGAGCTACTCAGGAGGCTGAGGCAGGAGAATTGCCTGAACCCAGGAGGCGGAGGTTGCGGTGAGCCGAGATCGCACCATTGCACTCCAGCCTGGGTAACAAGAGTGAAACTCCGTCTCAAAAAAAAAAAAAAAAAAAAAAAATACAGTAATTAGCCAGGCATGGTGGTAGGCACCTGTAATGCCAGCTACTCGGGAGTCTGAGGCAGGAGAATCGCTTGGACTCAGGAGACAGAGGCTGCAGTTACCCAGGATTGCACCCCTCCACTCCAGTCTGGGCAACAGAGTGAGACTATCTCAAACAAGAGAAAAAAAAAAGAAGACCAGCATAAGCTCTTAGGAATCTTGGGATCAGCTGAGGTCAGAGAAGCAATTTCTTTCATATCTTTGTGTGTGTGTATGTGTGTGTGTGTGTGTGTGTGTGTGTGTGTGTTGGCGTGTTTAGACGGAGTCTTGCTCTGTCACCCAGGCTAGAGTGCAGTGGTGCAATCTCGGCTCCCTGCAGCCTCCACCTCCAGGGTTCAAGTGATTCTCCTGCTTCAGCTTCTCCAGTAGCTGGGATTACAGGCATGCACCACTGTTTCCGGCTAATTTTTGTATTTTTAGAGATGGGGGTTTCACCATGTTATCCAGGCTGGTCTTGAACTCCTGACCTTAAGTGATCTGCCCACCTTGGACTCCAAAAGTACTGGGATTACAGATGTGAGCCACCACGCCCAGCCCAGAGTAGCAATTTCAATGCATTCCCAGCGGCAAGCTGGCCCATCTCTCCAAGCCTCAGTCTCCTCATGACAATAAGGAGACTTCTGTAATCATAAAAGCCATCACTTGGCTGGGGCACTGATGAGGATTTAATGAGTCCTAAATGTGAGCCAGTGTCATCATCACTGCCACCTCTCTGGGTGTGGAGGAAAGGACTCCCCCTCGGCTCTCTGTTTTCTCTGTGAAACCTCAGGCATGCACACAGCCTCTCTGAGCCTTGGTTCCTCCTCTGAAACTTATGAACTGCACAGTGTTAGGTGGGCGCTCTGGATTGGGATAGGCTGGCTGGAGTGTATGGGAGTAAAGCCTGCCCTTGGCACTCTGGTGATGCTGGGGGACATTTCTGTGCCTCCCAGGAGCGGTCGAGCTGTCCCGGCGCCACCCGATGGCGTCCTGGCTGTGTGCCATGCTGCATTGCTTCGGGAGCTACATCCTGGCTGACCTGCTCCTCGGGGAGCCGCTGATCGATTACTTCAGCAACAACTCCAGCATCCTGCTGGCCTCAGCTGTCTGGTAAGCCATGCTGGGCATGGGAGAGCAGAGCCAGGTGCGGGAAGGAACAATCTGGGCACCAGGGGGGTGACAGGTTGGAAGCATTGGAATGCAACAGCCTTCACGGTGGCCCTGAACCCATACTGGTCTGGGCTCAGCACGTTGTGGGTGGGGGTGTCTGACACAGCCACAGCTCCCTACCCCCATCCTTCATGGTCTGCTCGTCCCCTGGCACTCAGCATTCTCTTCCCAAAAGGTACTTGATTTTCTTCTGCCCCCTGGACCTCTTCTACAAGTGTGTCTGCTTCTTGCCTGTGAAACTCATCTTCGTGGCCATGAAGGAGGTGGTGCGAGTCCGCAAGATCGCGGTGGGCATCCATCACGCCCATCACCACTACCACCACGGGTGGTTCGTCATGATTGCAACTGGGTGGGTCAAAGGTAAATAGGATGATGACAATGAAAAATCGCCCAAGTGGAGAACCGTTGGTCCAGTGGTGCTACCAGGCACCTCCGGCTGGGAAAGCCATTGCTCCAAGCGAAGGGGTGTAAATGTTGGACTAGTTGTCCAAATCTCCCAATACCTTTAGGGTAAGTGGGAAGGTTCTTCCAGAAATGTTACTGTCAGGGGTACCTAGGACAGTGATGACAACGACAAAAGTCAGTATTGCCAGAGCAGGGTTTCTCGCTTGCAACACTACTGACCTGTGGGGCTGAGTATTTCTTTGTGGTGGGGGCTGCCCTGTGGATTGTAAGATGTCAAGCAGCACTCCTGGTCTCCACCCACGGGATGCCAGTAGCGCACTTGTCCCCAGCTGCGACAAAAGAAATTGTCTCCAAGACCGGGTCCGGTGTCTCACGCTTGTAATCCCAGCACATTGGGAGGCCGAGCTGGGTGGATCATGAGGTCAGGAGTTCGAGACCAGTCTGGCCAAGATGGTGAAACCCTGTCTCTACTAAAAATACAAAAATTAGCCGGGCGTGGTGGCATGCATCTTGAGTCCCAGCTACTGAGGAGGCTGAGGCAGGAGAATTGCTTGAACCTGGGAGGCAGAGGTTGCAGTGAGCCAAGATCGTGCCATTGCACTCCAGCCTGGGCAACAGAGTGAGACTCCCTCTCAAAAAAATAAATAAAAAGAAAGAGAAGAAATGGTCTCCAAACACCTCCTAGGGAGCTAAATTGCTGTGGGTAAGAAATCCTTCTTCTCTAGAGCTCTAGCTATAGGAGTTCTTAACTTTTGTGGACCATAGCCCCTTTGTCAGCCCAGTGAAGCTTACAGACCCTTTCATGTGCAGAAGATAGAGCTGGACATGGTGGCTTAATACCTGTAGTCCTAGCTACTCAGGTGGCTGAGGTGTGGCAAGTACTAGAGCCAAAAAAAAAAAAAAAAGAAAAAGAGGCTGAGGTGGAGGGATCACTTGAACCTAGGAGTTGAGGGTTATAGTGAGCTGTGATTGTGCCATTGCACTCCAGGTAGGCAACAGAGCAAGAGCCTGTCTCTAAAAAATTAAAACTAAAAGAGTAAAGTAATAATGAAAATGTTATTAGAAATAAAGAACGTTTTGGCCAGGCGTGGTGGCTCAAACCTGTAGTCCCAGCACTTTGGGAGGCCGAGGTGGGTGGATCATGAGGTCAGGAGTTTGAGAGCAGCCTGACCAACATGGTGAAACTCCGTCTCTACTAAAAATACAAAAATTAGCCAGGTGTGGTGTTGCATGCCTGTAATCCCAGCTACTCAGGAGGCTGAGGCAGGAGAATCACTTGAGCCCGGGAGGCGCAGGTTGCAGTGAGCCGAGAGCACGCCATTGCACTCCAGCCTGCGCGACAGAGTGAGACTCCATCTCAAAAAAATAAAGAACGTTTTATAACGTTAAAAGAGCCAATACACCAGGAAGTTATAGCACCTATAAACATATGTGCACCTAGAAACAGAGCCCAAAGTACATAAAAAGAGTTCAACATTAAAAGTTGGAGAAGTGGGCCAAGGAGTAACAAGAAAGCAGGTAGAGAACAAGAGTTGGCCGGGCGCGGTGGCTCAAGCGGTGGCTCAAGCCTGAGCAAGTGCCGAAAACCACTGGGCACTTTCTCCTCCCTTCCTGCCTACAATATATGGGTACCCACAAAGTGCCATGATATAGAATCACCATCCATTGAGCCACGGTGTCCTCAGTTACTCCTTGCTGTGGGGGTCAACCTGTGCATATACAGTGGTGAGCCACCTCCCTGGCCTTCACTCACTCAATGCCAGTAGTGCTCCCTCCCCAACTGTGACAACTCAAAGTGTTTCTCAACATTGCCAGATGCTTCCTTGGGAGCAAAATGCGCCCCAGATGCGATTCCCTGGTCCAGTAGTACCTAGCAGCCACCCCAGTTGGTGCAGCAGTTCCTGGAGTGGATGTCCAAGTGTCTTTAACCAATACATTTAGGGTAAATGGGAAGATTCTTCCAGAAATTCAACCATTCTATCTCCATTTGAGTCTCCTTATTGCCTCTCCAGGAACCTTTTACTACTGAGCAGATTCCCCAGGGGTATAGTATCTCTCCTAGAGTATGGATGGTTTGAGAAAGATGGAGAACTTGGAGGAGAGAGACTGGGGGTGGGGGCTGCCTTGTAAGCCTCATGTATAGCTTGGGGTCCTGGATTAGGGGCATCAAGACAGGCAACCCCAGGTTAAAGACCTGCCTTGCTGGTGGGGACATGACTGATTCCTTCAGGTGGCTTTTGCTAAGAATTTGCCATGTGACCCTCAGCAAGGCAAAGCTTTGTCCTCTCTGAGCCTCAGTTTCCCCACCTGCAGCTGATGATCCTACACCCCCAGGCTAAGTGTCCCTCTAGAGAAGACTTCGGGAGCGGAGAGACTGCTTCCCTGGGAATTCAACCAAGAGGAAAAGGAGAGCGGGGGGTGGTGAGCTTATTCAGAAGCCCCCTGTCCTGTAGGTTCTGGTGTCGCCCTCATGTCCAACTTTGAGCAGCTGCTCCGAGGGGTCTGGAAGCCAGAGACCAACGAGATCCTGCATATGTCTTTGTGAGTATCCCACCCCACCTCTCCCTCCCTCCTTTCTGTATGTCTGGGTGCCTAACCCTGAGTTGGATGCTACTGATAACTTGAGAGGCCTCAGCCCTTGACTCTGCCTTTCAGAGTGGCTGGGGAAGCTCAAAGCAGAGCCATAGCTCTGCTCTGTTTGGAGGTTGGGGAGGGCGGAGCTGCAGCAGGAGGCTATATCTGATTGGGGTTTTGAAGGGTGAGCAGGAGTTCACTGGCCAAGGAGGAGCCTCCCAACAGAGGCCAGCATCTCTGCCAACTGTCAAATCAGAAGAGCAGCAATGCTGCCAGGTGTGCAGGGTCAGGGCACAGAGCATGGGGCATGCAGTGTGCATTGGCAGCATATCTGGAGGTAAGTGGGCAAGGCCAGGTGGCAGCATCCAAGACCCAATGCAGGATCCCACATTGCATTTAGCTTAATGCTTTTTTTTTTTTTTTGAGACAGAGTCTCATTCTGTTGCCAGGTGCCAGGCTGGAGTGCAGTGGCACAATCTCGGCTCATTGCAACCTCCACCTCCCAGGTTCAAGCAATTCTCCTGCCTCAGCCTCCGAGTAGCTGAGACTATAGGCGCACGCCACCATGCCCAGCTAATTTTTGTACTTTTAGTAGAGATGGGGTTTTACCATGTTGGCCAGGATGGTCTCAATCTCTTGACCTCGTGATCCACCTGTCTCAGCCTCCCAAAGTGCTGGGATTACAGGCTTGAGCTATCGTGCCCGGCCACTTAATGCTTTTTTTTGGGGGGGGGAGGGGGATGGAGTCTTCCTCTGTTGCTTAGGCTGGAGCACACTGGCGTGATCTCAGCTCCTTGCAACCTCCACCTCCAAGGTTCAAGAGATTCTTGTGCCTCAGCCCCTTGAGTAGCTGGGATTATAGGCACCTGTCACCACGCCCAGCTAATTTTCATATTTTGATAGAGATAGGGTTTTGCCATGTTGGTCAGGCTAGTCTGGAACTCCTGACCTCAAGTGATCTGCCCACCTCGGCCTCCCAAAGTATTGGGATTACAGGCATGAGCCACCCACACGCCAGCATAGTGCATTTTTAAAAGACCTTGTTGGGGGTCTGGGTGTGGTGGCTCACGCCTGTAATCCCAGCACTTTGGGAGGGCAAGGCTGGACGATTGCGTGAGCGCAGGAGTCCAACACTAGCCTGGGTAACATATGAGACCTCTTCGCTACAAAAAAAAATTAACTTAGCTAGGCATGGTGGCATGCGCTTATGGTCCCAGCTACTCAGGAGGCTGAGGCAGAAGGATTACTTGAGCCCAGGAATCTGAGGCTTCAGTAAGCTAGGATCATGCCACTGTACTCCAGCTTGGATGGCAAAGCAAGACCTTGTCTCAAAAAAAAAAAAAGTATTCAGATACCAAACCGTTAATGTTAAAAAAAAAGAAAGAGGGAGGGGTGGGGAGGAATTATGTATATAAATCACCTGGCCCTGGAAACTGGTGAATGCTTTGGAAATATCAGGTAGAAGTATCATCATTAGGTTGGGTGCAGTGGCTCACGTCTGTAATCCCAGCTCTTTGGGAGGCTGAGGCAGGTGGATACCTGAGGTCAGGAGTTCGAGACCAGCCTGGCCAACATGGTGAAACACTGTCTCTACTAAAAATACAAAAATTACGTCAGGCATGGTGGCTCACACCTGTAATTCCAGCACTTTTGGAGGCCGAGGTGGGTGGATCACCTGAGGTTAGGAGTTTCAAGACCAGCCTGACCAACATGGAGAGACCCCGTCTCTACTAAAAATGCAAAATTAGCTGGGCATGGTGGCGCATGCCTGAAATCCCAGCCACTTGGAAGGCTGACACAGGAGAATCGCTTGAACACAGGAGGCAAGTGGGCAATAAGAGCGAAATGCGTCTCAAACTAAATAAATAAATAAAATTTAAAAATTAACCAGGTGTGGTGGTGCACCTGTAGTCCCAGCTACTCGAGAGACTGAGGCAGAAGAATTGCTTGAAGTCAGGAGGCAGAGGTTGCTATGAGCTGAGATTGCACCACTGCACTCCAGTCTGGGCGACAGAGCAAGACTCTGTCTCTAAATAAATAAATAAATAAATAAATAAAATTCGTAAATACATGCAGTGAAGCTGGGCATGGTGGCTCAACCCTGTAATTCCAGCTACTCAAGAAGCTGAGGTAGGAGGATTGCTTGAAGCCAGAAATTCAAGACTAGCCTGGGCAACACTGCAAGACCCCCATCTCCAAAAAAAAAAAGACAAACAAAATTAGCCAGGTATGGTGGCGCTTGCCTGTAGTCCTAGCTACTCAGGACGCTGAGGCAGGAGGGTTGCTTGATCTCAGAATGTTGAGGCTGAAGTGAGCTGTGGTCACACAAGTGTGCTCCAGCCTGGGCAACAGATTTGAGACCTTGTCTCAAAAAAAAAAAAAAAAAAAAAAGCAGTGAGTGACAGATAGATACTAGGAGTATAAGTCACAGGCCTGTCTTTGGCAACAAATGAAAATATTTTAAACCTATTCTGCAAGGAAAAAAATAAAAGTTAAGGATAACTTTGCATGTTGTAATCACATTTTCTGCGGGAATGAGCTGATGGGAGATCCCCAAGACCACCCTGACGTTCCATGACTTGCCAGAAGGACTCATAGAACTTAGCAAAGCCATTATATTCAGGATTATGATTTATTACCATGACAACCTATAGAATAACATCAGCAGAGGGAGGGTGCTGCGGCTCACGCCTGTAATCCCAGCACTGTGGGAGGCCAAGGCAGGAGGATTATTCAAGGCCAGGAGTTCGAGACCAGTCTGTGCAACATAGCAAGACTCCATCTCTACAAAAAAAAAAAAAAAAAAAAAAAACCTTAAAAATTAAGCAGGGACAGTGGCACATAACTCTAGTCTTAGCTACTTGGGGGGCTGAGGTGGGAGAATTGCTTGAGCCCTGGGGTTTGAAGTTACAGTGAGCCATGATCAGACCACTGCACTCCAGCCTGGGTGGTGAGACCCTGTCTCTTTTTTGTTTTTCCTTTTTTAATTAAAATAATTTTTTTTTCTTGGTGCCGTGACTTGGAAATTTTTTTTTTTTTTTTTTTTTTTTTGATATGGAGTCTGGGTCTGCTACCCAGGCTGGAGTGCAGCCGTGCGAACTCAGCTCACTGCAACACCCACCTCCTGGGTTCAAGCAATTCTCCTACCTCAGCCTCCTGAGTAGCTGGGATTACAGGCGCCCACCACCACGTCCAGCTAATTTTTGTATTTTTAGTAGAGACGGGGTTTCACCATGTTGGCCAGGCTGGTCTGGAACTCCTGACCTTGTGATTCACCCGCCTTGGCCTCCCAGAGTGTTGGGATTACAGGCATGAGCCGCTGTGCCCGGCCGTGAGACCCTGTCTCTAAAAAATAAATAAATAAGATGACATCAGCCATGCCTGTAACCCCAACACTTTGGGAGGCTAAGGCGGGTGGATCACTTGAGGTCAGGAGTTGGAAACAAGCCTGGCCAACATGGCGAAACCCCATCTCTACTAAAAATACAAAAATTAGCCCGGCGTGGTGGTGGGTGCCTATAATCCCAGCTACTCTGGAGACTGAGGCAGAAGAATTGCTGGAACCAGGGTGGCGGAGGTTGCGGTGAGCTGAGATCGCACCACTGCACTCCAGCCTGGGCGACAGAGCAAGACTCCAACACGTACACAAACAAGAAATCAGCAGGGATCAAATGCACATGGGGCAGACTACAGGAGAGAAAAGGTGCAAACATCCAGTTTTTCTCCCAGTGCAATCACCTGGACAGGGCTTTGTTCTCCCAGCAGCAGTGCGTGACAACATGCATGGCGTACTGCCAACCAGGGAAGCTCTTCTGAGCCTGGGTACCCAGGGTTTTTACGGAGGCTCAGACCTAGCTAGCCACCTGTGTGGCTGACCTCAGTCTTCAGGCCCTCTAGAGGTCCAGCTGAGGCTGCAGGCCCCAGGATCCCCACCATAAATTACGTTGTTACTACCTGATGCGACCCAAGGCTCCCAGGCAAAGAAAGACAATCTTACCAGGCAGGACACCCCAAGGGTTTAGAGGGCATATTCCAGGAGCTAGACAGAGGCCAGCCCTTTCTTTGGACTAGGTTAACCCATCGTGCATAGGATGACACCACCTCATCCTCCCACCTATGATCAGGAGAAGCCGTGGCCAGGCACAGTAGCTCATGCCTATAATCCCAGCACTTTGGGAGGCCAAGAGGATCACTTGCGGTCAGGAGTTCGAGACCAGCTAGGCCAACATGGTGAAAACCCCATCTCTACTAAAAATACAAAAATTAGCCAGGCATGGTGGTGCACGCCGGTAATCGCAGCTACTCAGGAGGCTGAGGTGGGAGAAATACTTGAACCCGGGAGGCCGAGGTGGCAGGGAGCTGAGATCGCGCCACTGCACTCCAGCCTGGGTGACAGAGCAAGACTCCATCTCAAAGAGAAAAGGGAGAAGCTGGGATGGGAGAAATGGAAGCTGGTGCCAGGGCAGGGGGGTATGGGCCAGAGTTACGAAGACCTGAGCCATGCAGGCACCTGCCAGTAATAACAGCTACTCCCTCCAGCCCCACCAAGGCCAGCCTGTACGGAGCCATCCTCTTCACCCTCCAGCAGACCCGCTGGCTCCCAGTGTCCAAAGCCACCCTCATCTTCATCTTCACCATGTTCATGGTGTCCTGTAAGGTAAGCCCTTTTCTTCCTGCTGCCTTATTGCCTTGACCAATGCCCGCCCCCCTCCCCCCACCGACCTCCAGGCGGGGGTGGGGAAATTGGATACTCCTAGCCTTATGTGGCTGGGACAGGGCAGCCCAGAGAGGGACACGCCTGCCAGTAGCTTGCTGGGAAGAGGGTCTTTAAAAGGCAGTGTCCAGCAGCCAGGACACAGGTGAAGGGAACAGGCCTCTGTGCAAAGGACCCAGCCCGAGCAAAGGTCAAGGTGGGCCCAGTCCCTTGGGTACAGAGACCAGAGGGACAAGAAGCTGAAATGGCAGCATCAGGTAGCCGGGAACTCAGTTGGACCAGGAATAGTTCTAGTCTTGACAGTCATGCCTTGAGTTGACATCACCCTACCCAGGAGGGGTCTTCAGGGGCTGGGCTCTCTCCCTCTGCATGAAGACCCCAGCTCAGGACTGTGTGTTCCCTGGGCAAGGACTCTAAGGCTGTCAAAAGGGAGTGAGCCTACGTCTCCCTGCATTAGGGAAACAGGGAGAGGCAAGCAGATCACTTGAGGCCAGGAGTTCAAGACCAGCCTAGGCAACATGGTGAAACCCTGTCTTTCCTAAAAATACAAAAATTAGTCAGGCATGTTGGCGCATGCCTGTAATCTCAGCTACTCAGGAGGGTGAGGCAGGAGAATCACTTGAACCTGGGAGGTGGAGGTTGCAGTGAGCCAAGATTGTACCACTGTACTCCAGCCTGGGCAACAGAGTGAGATTCTGTCTCGAAAACAAACAGGCAAACAAAATACAAATACAAAAATTAACCAGGTATGGGTGGTGCATGCCTGTAATCCCAGCTGCTTGGGTTGCTGAGGCACGAGAATTGCTTCAACCCAGGAGGCGGAGGCTGCAGTGACCTGAGATCAGGCCATTGCACTCCAGTTTGGGCAACAGAGTGAGACCCTGTCTCCAAAAAAATAAAAAAAGAAAAACAAAAGAAATGTATTTCTTAACAGTTCTGGAGGCTGGGAAGTCCAAGATCGGGGTGTTAGCCTGGTCAGGTTCTGATGAGGGCCCTCTTTCCTGGTTGCAGACAGGCAGTATCTCACTATGTCCTCACATGTGGAAGGGACTGGTTAGCTCTCCTGGGCCTCTTTGTAAGGGCACTAATCTCATTCCCAAAGGCCCCACCCTCACGATCTGATCATCCCTCCAAAGGCCGCACCTCACAAGACCATCATCTTGGTGATAGCTTTCAACACATGAATTTGGGAGGACACAGATCTTCAGACTAGCACTTAGCATGGCTTTCCTCTGAGCCTAGGAGTAGTGGGGAATTCTGGGGGATGGGTGACCAGCAGTCCCAGTGTGCCTGGAACTTTCCAGGGGTCAACATTGAAGTCTGGCATCCTGGGAAACCTGAGATGATCGTCCATTGTCCTGGGGGTGCATGCAGCTAGAGGGCTGGGTCTGGGCCACCTCCAGCCTTGACTTTGCTGACGTTCTCTCCCCTCATCCCCTGTGCTTTCTTCCTTGGTCTCCCTCTGTCTCTCTGGCTGTCCCGCTGGCCACCCCACCTCAGGTGTTCCTGACGGCCACCCACTCACACAGCTCCCCCTTTGATGCGCTGGAGGGCTACATCTGCCCCGTGCTGTTTGGTGCAGCCTGCGGGGGTGATCATCACCATGACAACCACGGTGGACCCCATGGCAGGTGGTGGGCCAGGACCCCAGCATTCGGCCATGCCTGCCAAGTCCAAGGAGGAGTTGAGCGAGGGCTCCAGGAAGAAGAAGACCAAGAAGGCAGATTAGGGGGTGGCCCAAGGAGCACCAGGGAGACAACCCGGACCCAGGACCCTCTGAGGTGGGAAGCTTCCTGTGCTCAGATCTATCCTTTCCTGGCCTTGAATTCTCCATCTGCAAACAGGGTCATTGGCTCACCATCCAGGGCTGATGTGGGGGTGAGATATGAAGATGAGAATGAAGAACTGTTGTAGAAATCGGGGTTCCCTCTCTCTGTCTGCCAGGACCCCAGAGAGTCACAGCTTTTGGAGGGGTTCACAGAATCCTGGCAGCAGCTCTAGCCAGAAAGCCTGATCGGCAGTGATATTCTTAGTTCTTTTTTTCCTTCTTTAAAATTGCATCTTGGCTGGGTGCGGTGGCTCACACCTGTAATCCCAGCACTTTAGGAGGCTGAGGCGGGTAGATCACCTGAGGTCAGGAGTTCAAGAGCAGCCTGGCCGACATGGTGAAACCCCATCTCTACTAAAAATACAAAAATTAGCCAGGCACGGTGGTGCATGCCTGTAATCCCAGCTACTCGGGACGCTGAGGCAGGAGAATCGCTTGAATCTGGGAGGCGGAAGCTGCAGTGAGCTGAGATTGCACCACTGCACGCCAGTCTGAATGATGGAACGAGAGTCTGTCTCAAAAAAAAAAAAAAAAAAAAAATGCATCTTAACGCCTGAAGAACTTTAAGCCATGTTGAGATTCATTCATTTGATGGATATTTTCTAAGTACCTGTGAGCCAGGTGCTGCCATTTCAAAGTCTCTTCTTACCCAAGCTCCTCAGTGGCTAGACCTTGCATGCCTAGCAGTCCCGACTCTTGCTGGGCGTCCCTGGGCAAGTTGCCTTCCTTCTCTGAGCTTTGCGCTCCCCTTCGACCCTTGGCCCCCGCTCTGTATGGAAGGGTTGATATGAAGCTGCAGCTGAAAAAGGCTCACATGCTCCTAAGCCTCGTGCAGTCAGGAGGGGAGACCAGGACGGTTGGAAATTATGATTGCAAATGGCTTTGCATTTTAGATCATTCGTGTGTGTGGATCAGAGAAACTGACAAGTTCCCTGGCACAAAGGAAGCCCTCCATAGACAGCCCTAGGGCAGGCTTGAGAGATCAGACGGTGTGAAAGGCTTGTGATCTGTTCATCTCAGGCTCCCCTAAACCAAGAAATGGAGCCAGCTGGGTGGAAATGGATCCAGCTCTATCGAGGGGCTCTGAGCGTGCACAGTTGGGACTGGAAGTATCAGGTCTCCCTCAGGCCAGAGTTCACTGTCACTCATTCAGTCATTCAACAAACATACAGATGCTTACCTGGTCTGTGCTCAGCCTTAGGCTGCTGCTGGGCAGGCCAGGAACCTGCTTCGGCGTGAGTGAGGTGGATGGTATAGCTGAAGGGTCCCTCCTGACCATCTCAGCCTAGGTCACCAGGATGTCTGAGAGGGTGGGGTGCATGGGGGGGCATGGGCAGTCTCAGGTGAGGTTTGGGCCCAGACCAAATCGGAGTCCTAGAGGTCGCCAGGCTGCTAGAAAAGTGCCTTGTCCCTGTGATGCCTGGGAGTTGGGTGGGTCCTGGGGAGGTGAGGCCCCAGTTTCACCCTCTTGCTTATCCACCACAGCTCGGCGTGGAGGGGCAGCCAATAAAATCATTGTGAATGAACCCTCATGGCTTGTCTGTTTTATGCCTGGGATTTTTGTTTTGTTTTGTTTCGTTTTGTTTTGTTTTGAGACAGAGTCTCAAAGCAGGGGACAGTTTTGCAAAAGGAAGCAAAGCAGGGGATGGCAGGGTGGGGAGAACAGGAGACAGAATGACCATCAACAAAGTCAAGGTTGGAGGTAGCCCAGACCCAGCCCTCCAGTCGCCCAGGCTGGAGTGCGGTGGCGCGATCTCGGCTCACTGCAACCTCTGCCTCCCAAATTCAAGCGATTCTCCTGCCTCAGCCTCCTGAGTAGCTAGGATTACAGGCACCTGTCACCACGCCCAGCTAATTTTTGTATTTTTAGCAGAGGCAGGGTTTCGCAGTGTTGGCCAGGCTGGTCTCAAACTCATGACCTCAAATGTTCTACCCACCTCGGCCTCCCAAAGGGCGGGAATTACAGGCATGAGCCACTACACTAGGCACATACCAGGGATTGGCCTCAAGATATGGGGACAGTCAGTCCCAGTGGCTCAGGCCTGTAATCCCAACACTCTGGGAATCAGAGGGAGGGGGATCACCTGAGGTCAGGAGTTGGAGACCAGATTGGCCAACGTGATGAAACCTCGTCTCTACTAAAAATACAAAAAATTGGCTGGGCGTGTGGTGCACACCTGTAATCCCAGCTACTCGGGAGGCTGACGCAGGAGCGATCCTTCCACCTCAGCCCCCCCAAGTAGCTGGGACTACAGGTGTGTGCCACCATGTCTGGCTATTTTTTTTTTTTTTTTTGAGACGGAGTTTCGCTCTCGTTACCCAGGCTGGAGTGCAATGGTGCGATCTCGGCTCACTGCAACCTCCGCCTCCTGGGTTCAGGCAATTCTCCTGCCTCAGCCTCCTGAGTAGCTGGGATTACAGGCATGCGCCACCATGCCCAGCTAATTTTTTGTATTTGTAGTAGAGACGGGGTTTCACTATGTTGACCGGGATGGTCTCGATCTCTTGACCTCGTGATCCACCCGTCTCGGCCTCCCAAAGTGCTGGGATTACAGGCTTGAGCCACCGCGCCCGGCCCAATCTGGCTATTTTTTGTAGAGTTGGGGCCATGCTATGTTGCCCAGACTGGCCTTGAACTCTGGCTTCCCACAGTGCTGGGATTATAGGCATGAGCCACCATGTCTAGTCAGATACACATCTTCAGCCATGAGAAGAATGCAAAGCAGAACCACAATAAGCTGTCACTTCACATCTAACAAAATGGCTAAAGTTAAAATGTCAGCATGGTCATTTTAGTGCTGGTGGGGATGTGGAGCAATGGGAACTCTCATGGTAGGAAGTCTTAAAAGACGCAACCACTTTGGAAGACTAAGTTAAAACTAGGGGTGGGGTATGGTGGCTCACGCCTGTAATTCAAGCACTTTGGGAGGGTGAGGTGGGCAGATTGCTTGAGGTCAGGAGTTCAAGACCAGCCTGGCCAACGTGGTGAAACCCTGTCTCTACTACAAATACAAAAAATTAGTCGGGCTTGGTGGTGCACACCTGTAATCCCAGCTGCTCCGAGGCTGAGGCAGGAGAATCGTTTGAACCTGGGAGGCGAAGGTTGTAGTGAGCCAAGATCGCACCGCTGCCCTCCAGCCTGGGTGACAGCAAGATTCTGTCTCAGAAAACAAACAAAATGAAACAAAAAGAACAAGCAAACAAAAAAAAACCCAACGTAAGTTAAATGTAGGCTGGTCATGGTGACTCACACCTATAATCCCAGCGCTTTGGGAGGTGCAGGAGGGAGGGCTGTTTGAGCCCAGGAGGTGGAGGCTGCAGCGAGCTGTGATGATGCCAGTGTACTGAAGCATGGGCGGCAGAGCAAGACCCTGTCTTTAAAAAAAACAAAACCAAAAACAAAAAAAGGCCAGGTGCGGTGGCTCACGCCTGTAATCCTGGCTACTCAGGAGGCAGAGGTGGGAGGATCACTTGAGCTAAGGACTTTGTGACCAGCCTGGACAACGCAGTGAGGCCAGGTCTTTACGAAAGAATTATTTTAATTAGCCAGGTGTGGTGGTTTGTGCCTGTAATCCCGGCTTCTCAGGAGGCAGAGGTGGGAGGATCACTTGAGCCCAGGAGTTCGAGGCTGCAGTGAGCCGATATTGTACCATTCCACTCTGGTGTAGATGACAGGGTGATACTCTGTCCCATAAATAAATGAATAGGCTGCAATCACATACTCCAGACAGAGTTGCTGAAGCCACAGACATTTATTTTTCCATAATTCTTGAGGCTGGAAGTTTGACATCAAAGTGTCAGGTTTTTTGTTTTGTTTTGTTTTTGTTTTTTGGTTTTTTTTTTTGAGGCCTCTGCTTCGTTGGCAGATGGCCGCCTTCTCTGTCCTCACATGGTATTCCCTCTGTGTATAATCTGCTCTGCTTCTGAGGACACCAGTAAATTAGACCAGGACCCACCTATAGACTTTTTAAAACTTAATTATCTCTTCTTTTTAAGATGGAGTCTGACTTTGTTGTCCAGGCTGGAGTGCATGGCATGATCTCGGCTCACTGCAACCTCTACCTCCAGAGTTCAAGCGATTCTTGTGCCTCAGCCTCCCGAGTAGCTGGGCACTCGCCACCATGCCTGGCTAAGTTTTGTATTTTTAGTAGAGACGGAGTTTTACCCTGTTGGCCAGGCTGGTCTCAAACTCCTGATCTCAAGTGATCTGCCTGCCTCAGTCTCCCAAAGTGCTGGGATTACAGGCGTGGGCCACCTCACTTGGCCGACTATTTTAACTTAATTATCTCTTTGAAGACCTTATCTCAGTCAGCTTGGTGCTAAAAAATTTTTAAAAATAGACCTTATCTCCTATTTTAGTCCATTCAGGGTGCTGGAACACATGCTATAAACTGGTGGCTTGTAAATAACAGAAATTTATTTCTCACGGTCCTGGAGATGGGAAAGTTCAATGTCAAAATGCTGGCAGATTCACTGTCTGGTAAGGGCTGGCTTCCTGGTCATAGATGGTGTCTTCTCTTGGTGTTCCCATGTAGTATAAGGAGCAAGGAGTTTCTTGGCGGCTTCCTGTGGAAAGGCACTAATCCCATTAATGAGGGCCCCAGCCTCATGACCTAATCACCTCCCAAGGGCCCCACTTCCTAATCTTGGCTCACTGCAACCTCCATCTTCTGGGTTCAAGCGATTCTCCTGCCTCAGCCTCCCTAGTCGCTGGGATTACAGGCGCCTACCACCACACCCTGTTAATTTTTATTTTTATTTTATTTATTTATCATTATTATTTGAGATGGAATTTTTTTTGAGACGGAGTTTCGCTCTTGTTACCCAGGCTTGAGTGCAATGGTGCGATCTCACCGCAACCTCCGCCTCCTGGGTTCAGGCAATTCTCCTGTCTCAGCCTCCCGAGTAGCTGGGATTACAGGCATGTGCCACCACGGCCAGCTAATTTTGTATTTTCAGTAGAGA